GAATGATCTACACTGCTATGGAACCTTCAATTTCTAAATCTTGTCCCAAATACCCTCATTCACACAACCACCTCTTACTACTCTATCATAGGTAGACTTGACAAAAAATAGGCCATTCTTCTCCCACTTCCACCTCACGTTTGTATTGTTGTAAACTTCCAGACCTTCCTATACCTTCGGCCAAGGTGCCTTAATACCAGCCCAAGTATTAGAGCTTGGACATTTCATGTCAATGTTAGGGATTAGATCATTCCTATAGTGATACTTCCCTCTAACAACTTTAACCCAAAAATCATCTCTCTTTTGAGTGAGCCCCCATCTTACCTTTATAAGGAGAGCTAAATTCTGTGCACGAGCATGCCGAAGCCCAACCTACCTCATTTCTTAATTTTACATACCTCATCCCAAGCAATAAGATGCATCTTGCATTGTTCCCTTGAACTCCCCTATATAAAATCCCGATTACTTTTGTCCAGAGAATCGTAAGTACTCACTGGTAGTAGCGAGGTTTGAATCACATGACCAGGAATAGCAGATGTAACAGCAGAGATAAGTATTGTTCTGCCCGCAAAAGAGAACAAGTTGACTTTCCACTTAGATAATTTATTCTTTACTTTATTAACTATCTTGTTTGCTCTTTTATGGTGGAGTCGGAATCCTAAGTATTTACCCAGATCTGCTGTTTGTTGGAAGTTTAGAACAGAGCAAATCTCATTGCACCTGGTATGGTTAACATTATTTGAAAAGAAAACTCCTGTTTTTTAGGAATTCACCTTCAACCTTGAAGCTTTACAGAATCTTTCAAGACATGTCTTGAGGAGCAAAGCCTACTACACACTAGCCTCAGCAAAAAGAATTATATCATCTGCAAAAAAAAAAGATGAGAAATAGGTGGTCCACCTTTATTAAGATGAATAGGCCTCCACTCTCCTGAGTTCAATCATATTTGTATAAGATAGGCTAATTTCTCTATGAAATCACAAATAAATAGGGTGACATAGGGTCACCTTGCCTGACTCCCCTAGAAGGATGGAAAGAACTTGCTTTACTACCATTCCAAAGAATTTGCATATTGGGGGTAGACAAACATGCATAGATCACCTGAGTCATCTAAGTAGGTAGTTGTAATTCCTAGAGACAATTGATAGCAAACTTCCAATTGACTCTATCATAAGCTTCCTCGAGATCAATTTTAATAGCCATAAATCCTTTCTTACCCCTAATATTCCTCATAGAATGAATCACCTCTTGGGCCACGATGATATTATCTAATAGTAGTGTATTTCTATTTTCCATAACTTTAATATAGTATATTACTTATTAATATAAGGTGAGAGCCTATGCGAGTTGTTAGCAAATAGCCTGAATCACCATGTGGCTGCTATTAGTTGGGTGTTTAATTTGTTGGGAGACATGCCACATGATATGCCACTCCTTGAGTCCTATGTACGTGTTGCTATTAATGTGCCAAAGGATTTGAACTATCTACTACCTATTCTCACCGAGGATGCAGGGATTGTTGGAGAGGTGATGGGTAGTTTTATTGGATGACAAGCTAGTCAAGTTATGATATCAAGTCCCAAAAAAAACTGGTAAAGATGCACAGTCAAAAAAAAGATGATACCCAAATCTAGGCTTTCCTCTAAAAAGGTAGTCTCCCATAAAGCTATGCCTGAACAAGAGCCTCAATTACCAAGCCAACACAGAAATTTACTCCAAGCATATGCAACAATTCATAGGTCTAATCCTTCGATCCTACAAATCTCATTCAAGGCTAGTATATATGGCGAAGTCTGATATGATATGCTTTCACTTGATGTTGTTGATGAAGTGCTTCAACATAATATAACTAGTTTCACTATTCTCAGCTTCTACATATGGTAATTTTTTTTCATATATAAATAGTTAATATTTTAAATATAAACTAATCCATTTCTTATATTTATAATAGGTGCTTGTATAACAAATTTGTTGTCCCTTTCGATCTACAAATGGGTTCGTCTTCATTATTCTTGATGAAGTGGGTGCATATACCTTAATTAAAAATGACAAATTTTAGAACAAGAAAAGGCATTAAGTAAAAATTTCAAAGCAAGAGCTCGAAAGGAAATATTATTCATAATACCATACTGTCAAAGGTAACATAATTCTCACTTATCTTAATTTTTTTTATTTTTAATTTAATAGATTAATTATAATTTTACAACACTTGTTAATATGATTAAGGACCTTTGGATGTTGATCGTCGCTGAATCATTCGGCAACACTCCAAAGATATATTATCTCGATTCTCTTGGAGAGAAACCAGGGAGAAGACAAATTTTATTTGAGTTAATTAATACGTAAGTGCATAAAGTATTTCACATATTTATTTAATTATTTAAATTCCATACTACCATATTTTTAACTATTTCATTAGGACAATTGTGTTATACCACACTAACACAAAACAATGAATTCCAAGTTCCTTTACAAATTTTGATATGGCCTACACTTGGAATATAATTAAGGTAATTGAAATCATTTATTAAATTGAAATTTAATGCATTAATACATGTTCATCGATTCTTTAATTTTTAGTGTCCAAGACAAAAGAAAAATAGCTTGGATTGTGGCTATTGCATCATGAGGTTCACGAAGGACATCATTATCCATAACGAGAGCATAATTTTTGAGATGGTATGTCAACAATATTAACTTTTAAATTACAAAAATATTTGATGTATTAAAATTAATATATGGTGGATCATTTATATATTACAGTACCATGATGATTCTTATGTTGAAGAATTCAGGGATGCAGAAATAAATGAGGTAATTGAAAAATGGTGTCAATACATTTTTCAAGTATAGACCTCACAAAAAGAAGATCAATAGAACTACCTTGAAGAAGTAGCTAGGAAGTTTATATTTTTAATAGGTAGTTTATTTTTGAAGATAGTTTATTTTATGTAATTACATTTATTTATTGATTAATTTTGAAATTGAATATAATAAATTACATTGATATTCAAATCTAGAATGGCTAACTACTACTATTTTGATTTCTTTTTGTAGGGGGTTGGTATAAAAATAGCTCCCATATTAAAAAAACTATATAATCAATGACGGTTATATAAATAACTGTAATTTATACCACAACAAATGGTGGATAAATAAGTTACCTGTCATTTATCTGAACTTTAAATGACAGGTAAGTTATTTACCATCCTTTAAATGATGGGTAAATAGCTTACCTGTCATTTAAAGCCACAATAAATGAAGGGTAACTTATTTATCCATCATTTAAAATATTCTTTAAATGACGTGCAATTATTTTACCCATCATTTATTCTGGATTTAAATGACGGGTAACTTATTTACCCGTCATTTATATTCTCGTTTGACTTGAGTTTTTATAAAAAAAATTTATTTTAAATGACGGTTTTATAATTGTCATTTATTAGTAGACTTTAAATATCAATCACATAAATGATGCAAGTTAACTGTCATTTATGGAGTAAAAGAAACCGTCATTTATTCATTTTTTTTTGTAGTAGTGTTCAACATTATAATCTCTAATATTTCAGTCCTTCTACATAATTTTCCCTTTGAATATGGAATTTTTAAAAAATTTAATAAAAATTAGGAAAAGTGAGAGGGTAATTTTATTTATTTAATTATGTGGCGAGCGAAGATTTAATATTTAATATTTCCGGTGAAATCCCGCAGAGCTCCCTAATTAGTTAGATTGACACAGTAGTGAGAATTAAGAAAACGAGTACCAAGAAGAAACCATTTTCTTTTGGGGTTGTTTTTTCCTTCTTTTTCTCCCTTTTACAATGAGAACTTCATCTTGCATGCATGTTCCATATATTTACTCTTGTTCCCTATTTTAAAGAAGAAGTTATAATTAGTGATTATCACTCAATTGACCTGCAGATCATGCACAGAAAAAACGTGGAATGACGGGGGCAAGTACAAGGAACTTGTGTTTGAATTTTAATTAGGCCGGGTGGTCAAATTTAACTAGAGATTAATAATGGAGTGCAATAAAAGAACCATATTGTTTAAAGCCCATATGGACTACCTTTAAAAATTAAAAGGCAAATTGAACAAACTTTCTTTGAATTTATAAAATTACACAAGTCTCCCTCTTGTATATAGTTTAATAACTTCCACAAACTTTCCTTCAAAATAAAAAAATAAAGTACATATACATTCCTCGACTTAAGCTATAATTACACAAATCTTTCATTTTATTTTCAAGATAAGTTGTGTATAGTGTGAAAATAGAGTAATGTCTATATAATTTTAGTTAAACCCAAGGGTTTTTTTTTTTTGTAATTTATGCTTAGTTTTAGGGGATGCATGTCTAGATGTTTTTATAATTATAACTGATTTCTGAAAGCCATATTAGATCACGACTAATCTGAATATTGAACAAAATCCAACCTATGGTTGATGAGTCTAAATTTTGAAATGGAATTATGGTTTTGTACAAATTTTAATAAAATTTAAAGGAAGTTTGCATTATAATTAACTTTAATTTGAGGATAAAGAAGACATTCCAACCAAATCCAAGAAAGATTGAGAGATTAACGGGACGGAAATTAAATCAAGCTAAACACGTTTCCAGAAAATGCAGAGAAAGATGGCGTCCCAATTTCACGCAACACAAAGAAATGCTTGCTATATATCTAAGGGACAGGTGGAATGATTCATCAATCATCACTCTCTATTCCTTTGACCTAAAACCCACACTTGACTTGTTATTAAATAAACCTCGTCATTTCCAAAAAAGCAGACAAAGGGATAAACTTGGTTTTCGTTATTCTCAAAAGCGAAAGAGAGGAAGAGAAGAGGAGAAGAGAGAGATATAGATGGGTATGGTGATGATTGTGGTTGGTACTTTGTTAATAATGGTGATGATGACTCAAGAGAGCATGGCTTCAGAGAAATATGGAGAAGCATAAACAAAGAGCATTTTGTTCTTTGAAGGGCAGAGATCAGGGAAGCTACCATCAAAGCAAAGGATGACTTGGAGGAAAGATTCTGCTCTCAGTGATGGCTTTCAGATTCCTCACACTCTCTTCCCAGATCATTTCCTTAATACAAAAAGTAAATGTAGTTTGCTTCTCTTCATCATCTCTCGTAGTTTAAATTATTTTGTTTTATCCTGTAGATTTTTTGTTTGTTTTGGACTTTGGAATCTTAAGATAGCAATTTTTTAATCAAAAATCCATCTAGATTTAGGGTGTCCGTGCTCCAATAATGTCCAAAATCTCAACCTTTCATTTCAGCTAATGATCAGAGCAATTTCATCTAATTTCTCTTAAATGAAGAGCTGAGATTTTGGGCATTAGGGGTAGCAGGGAGGACAACAAATGCCTGAAATCCCAAGATCTACATATCGCTTACCATGGCTATAAACAATGCTTCACATTCAAATGCCTCTTAACATTCAATTCAATCTAATTCAAGTCTATCTTATCAATCTAAATAGTTGGACCAAGTAGGAGGATACTATGATGCAGGAGACAACGTTAAATTCAACTTCCCAATGGCATTTTCAACAACAATATTAGCATGGAGTGTGATAGAGTTTGGGAAATTCATGGGAAGATCAGATCTGAAATACGAGCTCGACGCTGTTCGTTGGGACGTGGATTATCTGATGAAAGCCACGAGCGTTCCTGGGTATGTGTTCGCGGTGGTTGGTGACCCTAATGCTGACCATAGTTGCTGGGAGAGACCAGAAGATATGGACACTTCAAGAAGAGCATTTGCTGTGGGTAAGAAGTTCCCAGGAAGTGAAGTTTCTGGCGAGATTTCTGCTGCCCTTGCTGCTTCTTCCATTGTGTTTAAAAAGCATAATCTTGACTATTCTTCACGGCTTCTCAATAGGGCTAGATTATTTCCCCACAGGTCATTACACTAAAAAAGGCAGTGATTTTTTCACAGATCAAATCAATGAGAAGAGAGAAATTTTTATGAGAACAGGTTTTCCTAATCAAAGGTCTTGTATATTTTATTTTGAAAAAATTAATATCCAAGTCTTTTTAGTTTTTGCCGATTTCAAATTATAGTTCGTTGTAGTTTATTTTATTTTAATCAAGCCCTTACAATTTAATCGATTAAATATATCAATCCCTTAAAGTTAAAATTAGTAATGGATGGTTAACTTCTAAAAAATAAAAACACTTTTAAAATTTATAGAAAAATTGATTTAATACAAAGTTTACATTTTTATTAGTTTTTTTTATAAAAATTCAATATATATATATATATATATAGTTATTTATAAAACATAACCTAATCATATAAATCTTGAGTTATAAAAATTATGTAATTAATTCTAAATTTATATAATCTTTTAACAAAAATATAAAAGTTCTTAATTTCATTTTTTAAAAGATTTAATTAAACCCTTACAGATTAAATGATTAACATATTTAATTGATCAAATAATAAGAGCTTGATTAAAATAAAATAAATTATAGGGACTTAATTTAAAATTGGGAAAAATTAAAAGGACCTGCATATTAATATTCTCTTTTATTGTTCTAAAAAGTTCTCACGGACATCAATTCCGTTGGAAATTCTTAAAGATGAAATTCTTGTGAAGTGTTCTCACAGTTAATATAAATCCATGGAAAGTGAGAAATGTGTTCACTTTTGCATGCCCTCACATACTAATTATAATATTCTGGTAAGGAGAAAAAAAAAATGCGGCTCAAAGTCACTCTGATCTGTACTTTGGTTCATTATTGGACCAAAGGTTCTTTAGTTATATCTTTTATTCTATAAAAAAATGATGGCCAATGACATTCTTTTTCTATGCTTAATTGTGAATGATCAGGTTTTTGAGTTTGCTGATAAGTACAGAGGATCCTATAATGACAGCCTTGGACCTTGGGTTTGCCCTTTTTATTGTAATTTTGGTGGCTACCAGGTAGGCCTCTCGTCTAGATTCATCCATTATATGTATTTATTATTAGGAACAGATTAATAACAATATATTCTTTACATTTTTGCATTTGAAGATTTTGTGCTTATTGTCACAAATTCAAAAATGAACAAGTGTAGAATGTAAAATTGAGCTCTTTGGTTAATTTAGGGGGTGTAAGAAAAAGCATACTGACTATTTATAACCGTGATTATAGGTTTGATTAATATGGATAATTTTTTATTGAATAAATTAGTCAGATCTTCCATAACTTTACTGAAATTGAGCTGTTTGTGTTTTTAATTTCAAAACCACAAATTATTTAAAATATATAAATGTGTAATTTATTCTTCCTTTGAAGAAATATCTATGTATAATTGGAAAATAAAAGGGAGGTATGTGCAATAATAACTTTAATGAAATTGAAAGTATTTTTACTAATTTTGAAAATATGGAAAGAAGTATGTATAAGTAATTTATTTCAGTATATGATTATTTTTAATGCAATTTCTCAATAATAATAATAGGATGAATTGGTGTGGGGAGCAGCATGGCTGTTCAAGGCTACTAAACTCCCTAAATATTGGAATTATGGTAACAAAAACATTCACAGCCTGAACAACTTTGATGAATTTGGATGGGACACAAAGGATGCTGGCATTAATGTTCTTATTTCTAAGTTTTGTTTTTTTTTTTTTTTGGCTGGTTCAAGGTAATGTTCATCTAGATTTTCTAATTTGAACTCCCTAATAAAGTCACATTAACTAAAAATGTCTCATTTGATTTCGAGAGTGGAATGAAATAGAAAATAAAGTGAAATGGAAAAAATAAAAATTTATGTCCCTGTACAGCATAAAAGTAATTAATAAAAAACTTCATCCATTGTTTTTTATGAGACATTTTAAAATCAAAGACAGATTAGAGAAGATGATTAGATTAATTAAGAGTTTTTAAAAAGTTATTGTTAATAACAGAAATATGATAGAGATTTCATACCTCGAATTCCATGCAATAGAATATGATGTGTCCATATTTGATCCATATTCAAACTTCTCCAATTCACATACTCTTTAATTTCCTTATGTATTTCAAAACCCTAATTTTCACTCAACAAATTTAGATTTAATATTTCTATCTAACCTTTAGATTTTCCTTAAATTAACAGTTTGTGATAAATAGTCCATCTGCTAACAAGTCTTTCATTCCCAATGCAAACAAGTTTGTATGTGCTGTGCTTCCTGAATCACCTGCAGCCTCTGCCTCATACTCTCCAGGTAATTGGTTTGACAAAACTTAAGGATGATAATTTTGTTAATTAAACAAGTTATAATAATTAGTGTAAATTGATATTTTTGGCAAAAGCAGGTGGGCTTTTATTCAAGGGAAGAGGGAGTAACATGCAGCATGCAACTTCATACTCTTTTCTTTTTCTGGTTTATGCCTTCATACTTGAATGAATCAAATTCACAAATCAACTGTGGCGGTGATGTCGTTGCTTCTCCAAAAAGACTTGTCCGATTTGCAAGAGGCCAGGTAATTAATTAGATTATTCTTTTAATTTCATGAATAGTAATATATTTTTTTCTTTTATATTTGATAATATCACATTAACAAACAATAAATCAATTAATGGGTTATTTAATTTAAATTTCCAATTATACATGTAAGTTAAGGAGACTGTCTAATCAAATTTTAAATCAAATTAAAGATTAAAACAACATTTGTTAGTTAGTTCAAGCGGTTGTTCTCGTGAACTAAGGTCTCAAAAGTTCAAAAAAAAAAAATATCGTCTAGAATGTTTTAAGCTTATGTTTGATTTAATTTAAATTCCCAATTACGAATGTAAGTTAATTAGCCTGTCTAATCAAATTTTAAATCAAATCAAACATTAAAACACCATATAATAGTTGGGTCAAGTCGTCGTAAGAGCTTTTATTATCAGTTCTATTTCCAATGACAATTAAAGTTGTTGCCAAATGTATACAATCAGTGATGACAAATATTGTTACAAAAACCAAAAATTGTCACCACCAAAAATTAGTTCCTGCTGAATGTCAAGAATTAGCAATCACTTTTGTAGTTGTAGAACCTACTAATCAATGGCAACAAAAGTCGCTGTCAAAGAGTAATGCTATTGAATCATGCCATGTGTTACCATGCACCTGCCATGAGGCTTCACGTCAACCCACTCATGGTTATTCTCTTTAAGTAAGATCTCAAGTTCAAAACAAAAATATCGTCTGGAAAGTTTTATACTCATGTTTGATTTGACTCAATCTATAAATGAGTTGGAATCCATGGATCAATCTACCTGTTAGAAATCAATTGGTTTAGAAAATTTTACACTTATGTTTGATTTTAGGTTTGGCTCAAAATTTAAAATTAATGATTGTTAGATCCTTGACAAAATTTCATAAAAAATAAGTTGCAAATATCAATACAAAAAAATACAAATTCAAAATTTTCAATTATAGATAACACATTTAAGTTTCAAAATTAAATACAATTATATTAGAAATTTCTATCTGCATCTGTTTAAATTTATATTTGAAATTCATTTTTTAAAAAATTATATCAAGAACTTAATTGTTATTAATTTAATATTTTGGGATCTAATTGTCATTCTATCATTCTCTACATTTTATGAGAATATTCAAATCTTTGAAAATATAAATGCATAGATACTTGGGAAAATGACAATAAAACCCCCTTCAAATTATATAAATGACAATCTGGTCCGTCGAAATACTATAATACCAATGAAATCCCTAGGGACTTTTCTGTCATTAAGAAATTAATATAAATGATCAAATTGCCCTTAGTTCAAATATCAATTGCCATTCACAAGTTTTATTCCAAGATTCATAACTTTTCTTTTTAAAATCACAAGAATTCAACAGCAATTCATAAGTTCACATTTGAAATCTTGATATTCCTCAAGTATTACAAATATCAATTACCATTCATAAGTTTTGTTTCAAGATCAACAACTTTTTCTTCTTAAAATTGCAAGAATTCAATAGCAATTCGTAAATTTGCATTTGAAATCATAATATTTCTTAAGTGTTGCAAATATCAATTACCATTCATAAATTTTATTCTAAGATTCACAACTTTTCTTTTTAAACTAGCAAGAATGCAATAGCAATTCGCAAATTCTAACCTAAGGGTAATTTGATCATTTATATTAATTGTTTAATATTAGGAAAGTCCCAAGGAACATCAAGGGATTATAGCATTTCGATAGACTAAAATATTATTGACATAATTCAAAAGGATTTTATTATCATTTTTCCTAGATACTTTAGTGAATAGTAACAAGTAGTCTAATTTTATATATTGATGTCACATTAGTGCATCCATGGTAAAATTTTATATATATATATATATATATGTGTGTGGGTTTAGTTTATTATAACATATATTGATCAATTTGTTTTTTAGTGCCAAAGTTCTTATATATATTTGTAATGTTTTGATTATGGGCCAAATAGGTGGACTACATATTTGGAAACAACCCTTTGAAGATGTCATATATGGTGGGATATGGACCAAAATTCCCTAAAAGAATACATCATCAAGCTTCATCGTTGCCTTCTTTAGATGATCATCCAGTCCACATAACTTGCAAACCCTAACCCTAATTTGCTTGCAGGTGCTATGGTTGGAGGACCTGATATCAAAGATTCTTACTTTGATTCTCGAGTTGACTTTACTCGCTCTGAGCCTACCACTTACATTAATGCTCCTCTTGTATGTGCTTTGGCTTACTTCAACTCACATTCATCATCCTAGCTATAATATTTTCTAAGATTCATTATTCATTTTAGTCTTATATGGAAGAATATATGTGTGTACATACATAGAGAGGGGGGGTTGATGAAGTTATTGAAGCATCACCCATACGTATGATCTCATTCATTTGTATTGACCCTTGTATATAATGTTATGTAAAGGAACTGTGTGTATGTATGTGTGTACGATACAATTGGAAATGGATCCTCTAAAGTCGTAAAAATATTCAATATAATCTGAAAGGATGAAATAAATCCATAAATTACAAAATGTTTAATTCATATGATCTACAATTTGTTGTCTAATTATACCACAAACACGATACGTATCTTCATAATTCAAGTAGATTTGATGAGGATACATCACCAATATTTGTACCCTACTCATGCTCATTTACACTTTCATTTTTAGCTCATATAAATTGCACATCAATATAATTGAATTTCTCTTGATAAATTATGTATTGCCATTGTTGGTTAAACTATTTCAACTTGTATTTTATACAATGAAAGACAAAACAGAACAAAACTAGTCATCAAGAAAAGGTAAAATGAAAATGCCAGTCCGTGCATAATTTTGTTAGCTCACGTATTACTTCTCAAGAATGATTGTTCAAGTTGATTTAATCAACTAAAGCATGGATTTAATTAAGAATCAGTGTCTTTCAAAGTGCACAGTATATAAGATCAATTAATGGTTGTGATGACAGGTAATTCTGCTCAACAACAGAGTTCAAAGATTGCAGATTAATGAACACGGTCATCCATGTCAAGATTCATAACTGTAAACTTTAAATTACTTGCCCAGGAAGAAAAGCTTGGGAGTTTCGCTGTTATTTAATAATTAACCTTTAAAACTACGATAAAATTTATGACAAGAAATCTACATTACATACTCTTTACAAATGCCATGTTCTCATATTTAGATACTCAAATTTCACAAAAGTATGTCACCACTTTGATACCAGGGACGAATCTGGAAATCATTATATGAAGGCCATAACTGAAATTTTATCTAAATATGAGGTCTAACATTGATTTCTACATTTTTCATAAACCTATTTTTTTGTAAAAATTTGAAGCATGCCCCCCTAAATTTGTGACTGTCTCATACTAAGAACATTGAATTCTCAAAACAACCCGCGAACTTAGAAAAGATAAATACACGCTATAATTATAAAACACTAGACTCAAATAAGTATACTATGCATGTTCTCAACGAAAAAAATACTTATTCATGTGAAAAAAAAAAAATCTTTGAGAAATAGCAAGATGCGCCCCAACATAAATCGAAGATCACAAACACATATAACAAAACCAATAAATTGCCGTAAGATCAATTATTAACAAATAGATAAATTACAGCACAGACCCACAATATATGATGATGGGAATAACGACGAAGGCAATAGGAAGCAGATGTGGCAAACTTGAATGCGGTAGCTAGGCAGCGAAAGACGACCACTGAAGGAAGGAAATGCAAATTCAGGAGCGAGAAGTAGGTGATCAACTATCATACGCAAGAAGAAGAAGGGATGCACGAAGCAGATGGTGAGCAATAGACCACGATAGGCGAGCAACACAGTCGACGGAAGATTTTCTTGAATGGCAATGCCAGCAAGCACAATGGGCAGTCAGATCTACGACGAGAAGGAGGTGAAGAGAGGCAAAGGCTTTATTTAGCTTCCCTCAAAATGCTCTTATTCTCCCATTGCGAGTTCAGGCTTTATTTTTTCCAAACAAGACTTCTTACTAGGAGATGAGCTTTTAACATCCCACTATGAGTTTGGCGAACCCAACCTAGGTTGAGATGTTAACCAAATACACCTTGAGCTAGTTTATATATAACGTGGATCTTAGACTTGAACTTAATATTTTCTTTCATTTAAAATTTAAGTGAGATAGATCTCATAAGCTCACCAGGACTATAATATATCTCTAAATTCAAACAGTACTACTTACAAATCACTCACCAACTTAGTCTAATGTTTTGTTAGCTTTAGAGGATGATTCTCCTCCAACCTTAAGCTGAAATTGTTATCATATTTATGACATGATAACAAAACATACGGGCCTATGTGTTGCCCGTAGTCCAAGGTGAATCATAAGCTTATGAGTTACACCACTTCTCATAAATTATATGCGTGCGCGCGCGCGCACATATATATATTGATATGATTATTTATATATACTGAATATTGATTATTGGTAATTATCAATAATCAAGTTGTTAAATCATAAAAAGTATACAATTTAAATGTTATAATAATAAATTTTAATATTTAATAATGATTTGATTAAAATTTATTTGACATTAAATTTGGTAATCTTTTCAAATTAATCCACCATAAAATAGTGTTCAAATTCCATGCTCAGGAAATGAGATTTAGGTTACTCAAATTTTAAATTTGTAGTTATGTTTTTTTTAAGCAAGTAACTATTTTTTAAAGGATTGTTTTTTTTAACTTTTATATTTATTAAAATAAAATATAAAAAAATTAAAATTATACTAAATTAAATTTGCACCATCCAATTTCAATTTTTAACATTTCATATTTCATCACTACAAGAAACTAAAAAAATATTTAATGATTTATATCTTCTTTCATTGAATCCAACGTTATCTCCTAGATAATCAATCTATTATAGTTAGAAAATTCCTAAAGCCAATCAAATTTAACAAAGCCAGAAGAAGCTTGAGGTGATTTGAAGTAAGCAACTAGACCCACAAAAGGAGCATTAAGGTACGTAGTCGGCTCAGACTGACCAACGTTATATCTTGAGTCTTCAAAAGCGTCATCTTCTGCGGGACCTCCGATGACGGCGCCGACAAGGACGTTAGGGTTCGGTGCATTGGTTTGGAAGTATTGATCTCCGTCACGACACTTAATCTGCTGTGGATGTTGGTCTAATGAAGGCAAGGTTGAACCACGGTGGTGGATCTTTTGTGGAAACTTGTTGCCATATCCCACCATGTATGACATCCCTAATGGGTTGCTTCCTAGAATATAATCAACCTGAAATGAAATCACAGTTCGGTTGTATATTCATAAAAATTATATCAAGTCAAATTCAAAAATCATAAATAGATATTCAAAGATGACCTAATTAATTTAGTTCAGTATAAAAATATCTAATATATATATATATATATAATCTATGTAAAATCAAAATTCATTAGCATATACTTCCCTTGATCTTTATTATAAGGCACTTTTAACTACCTCACCAGAATGAATGAGAGGTAGTTAAATCGGTAATTTTGTCTAAAAATATACTAAACTTTCAATCTTACCCCTATTGAAATGAAAAAAAATTAAATTTGCTTTACATTATCTCTTATAATTAATGAGTTTAAATAGGGATAATATTAAAAAAATGTAATTATTACCCCATTAAGTATGTTATTTTAAGGATTAAAAAATATTTCTAAAAGGCGCCCTGTAATAAGGATTGAAGTAATATCTATTAAAGTTATATCAAGTCATATTCAAAAGATGAAGTATGTCATCCATCTCAAGCTCTCTGCAATGCATTAGAGCCGAGGCCAACTCTAGTATGTAATCGCACTAGCACAAAATATTAATATAATGTCACTATTTTTACTTCAACTATATATGGTGAATTGAATTGAAATGGCAATAAATCTAGTGTTAATATTGTAAATAAATTCAATAATGTACATCCCAAACTTCGTGTAATATTAATGGAGTGAAAATTAATAATTTTTACCTTGTATAGCGATACAAAAATGTACATTTAATGGATAGATGTGAAAACTAGTATTTTCCACTAGCGTTTGTTAGCCTACAATCATAAATCATTGCATTGAAATTGTAAAATTGCTCCCGAAAAATTAAAGGGAAAGGTGCGTACGATAATTTTTTAAAAATTTACATCAAATTAATAAGATATTGATTTAAAGTTCATTATTTTGATCTTCTTAAATTATAGTCAATTAGCTGATTGATTTTTATATGTTGATGAATTTTAAGTCGGTTCAATTTTCAACTAAGTTGGACTATATTAGGGCCTCTTCATTAGTTTACCTGTCAAGCGGACCACCCAGTCCAATTCTAAATACCCGTTTTATTGTTCGTCCAAACAGGGGGGTTACACTTTGTTCCCCAAAAATTCATTCTATGTTCAGCTTATCCTTTTAAAAATTCACAATTTTATCCTTACAATCACAACAATTTTAATTAAGTTTCCATTGATAGAACTTTTGTATTATATGTGTGTGACAAAATATGCTTAATTATGATAACAAAGATGTTAAAATTATTAATAATAAACTAAATTATTTTATAGTATGTCCTCTTTTTCATTAATGACTTTGCTATGTAATTTTCTTTTATTTTAACTAATATAATTTGACTTTTTCAAAAAAAAAGTAAATTATTTTATATGTATGGGAAAATATGCTTAATCCAAACATGGGATATATTTGGGCCAGGCTTTATGCATTGGCTGAACCGACCATGCTTACCTGGGATTTGGCTAGATTGATGAGTGTATTTGGGTCAGCAGTAACACCTCCACAGTTGACTACTTTTTTAGCAGCTTGCATGTGCCGTGCATACACAATTAGAAGGAAAGATATTGATGTCACATGTTGAAGATTGCTTGATCCAGGTTTGAACATAAGCCCACCTTGTTATTTCACATTTAGCAATTTGTTAGTTCAATTCAAAAGATGATCAATGCAATAAAATGTTACTCCCTCTACTTAATATTATAAGGCATTTTTCTGGAATAGCATATTTAAAAATTTAAGGCATTTTGGCCTTTTAAGATGTAATTAATAAAATTTTTTTTCAAAAATATCCTTAATTATTGGTGCAATTAACAATTTTTTATTAAGATATTCTATTAAATAAGGATAAATATAAAAGACTATACTCTCTCTAGTTCTACTTATATGATAGAGAGAAAAGATTTTTTTTTGTTCCTATTTATAATTCATATCATTAAATTTTTATAAAAGATTTCTCCTTTTACCTTCCATTAAATGTTAGAAGGAGAAAATATATGGTTAAAATATGTATATTTAATAGGGACAAAATTAAAAAGTTATTAAATTTTTAGATAGAATTAATTAGTTTTGAGGTTTTCTTTTCAATGAAACATGTTAAAAATAACTTATAAATGGAATTAGAGGAGTATAATTTTAAATGTTAAAAGTGTTTTATGATACTAAATGAATGGAATATTTTATTTCCGTTTAATTTTCAACTATTGGATAGTTCAGAATAAAAATATTAAATTTAGACCAAGTCAGATTATTTATGAATCGTGTATAGAACATGATTAGTATATAACTCATCTCAAATTGATTTGCGCGATGCACAGGAAAAACATATTTACCGTTGACAAAAAATATTTAATTATCATGAAAAGTTGTTCAATGTTTTAAAAGTTATATGGAAATAGTAAAATGAGGAAATAAAATAAGCAATCAATTAAGACAAAAAGATTATGAGATTATATCTTTGGCAAAAAGCCAGAAACGATCAAGCAAATATTATTGCACTAGTGAGAAAAGAATAAGGAAAATTTTCTGCACATTTATAAGGTTATATGCATTTGAATACATGAAATATATAAAAATTAGAGGAATTCCGATACTCATATTATTTATAAGTAATAAACTAGTTTGAAATATATTACCTTTAGAGTAAAAGACTGACTTGGTTGGAGAATTGGGCAATACAGAGCACACAAAATTGTCTGCATTCGGAATAAAGGGACTGGCATGGGAAGGATCGGTCATTACCCACTGCCAAATTAAAAACAAAATCGATTTAGAAATTTAATAAACAATTAACTAATTAAAAATAAACAGTCACATCACTAAATAATAAAAGAATAGTGCTTTTATTCTGTTATCATCTAATATATTGATTGATTTTCTCTATGCAGAAATAAATAGATGGATACAGTCTCAATCAATAAATATTAGAAAATAATAACTCATACAGAATATTAGTTACAAATTTCAACTATGGAATTTTTAGATTTGGATTCCATGCAATACTCTTTGATTAATTTCAATCCAATCCTGTTAAAAATATTTGGACTATCTATTTTGATTTGTCGTATATCATTGTATTACGTTATCTTAATCTTCAAAATAGCATAATTTCACAAATGTATTACATATATGCCACATTGCAGAAATTGGATCTAGAGTAATTCAAGTCAAATCTGACTTTTTTTTTCTATAATTTAAGCATTTGAGTCATCGAATAAGCTTGAAATTAAAACCCAAGTTATTAGATCATATATATATATATATATATTTAAGTTTATTTATACTAATCCAAATAAGCTCGGCTCATTTAAACTATCAGTTCTAGGAGAAACTTGATGCTATAAAGAAATACCTCTGAAACAAGAACATTAATTCCAGCATTCTTGCAGTCCCATCCAAATTCAGTAAAGCCTCCACCACTCATTAGAACTGAAACTCCTTTGATATTCCTAATCACATTGGCGCTTTCTATGCTTCCTATGTTTTCTTTCACAAAGTTCCAATATTTCCTCTTTTTGGTTGCCTTGTACAACCATGCTGCTCCCCAAAGCAACTCATCCTGAATGCAAAGTGTATAACAATATATCAATATATTTTTTAAAACTAGATTGAACCAATTCCAATTGATGAATTGGCAAATCAAATCCTAGTATGATTTGAAATGTTGTCATCAATTCGGTTGAAAACTGGTCAAAAACGGGTGAAACTTTATTTTTTTATTTTTAATAATGCATTTATGTAAAATTAATTATATATATTTGGTTCAATCAATGTTCAATCACAATGAAACCAATGACTTTATTCCAATACAATTCTAACTTTAATATTTAAAAGTAGTGCTGTTAAAAAAAGTTAAAGGCTAATTGCACCTTTAAACTATAGGTTTAGGAATGTCTGGAATTCTAAACCCATTTTTAATATAATAATATTTCTCTTTAACTTTTAAAATCAGTGTAATGTTGCCTCTATCATTAACAAAAATAAACTTTAATTGTTAGTTAATCAGAAAGTTATAAAAAATATTTAAAATTATAAAAAAATAAAGAAAATTAGAAATCAGAATCCAAAAATTACAAACAAGGACCTTTATTAAAAACTTAATTTTAATTAATTTCATAAATTATTTATTTTGGAAAAATATTGTATATATATCATCTTATAAACCTTTAAGCAACAAATTAAAGATAAGATAAAAAATGAAGATTGATAATGAAGTTAAGGCCAGAGTTTTTCAATAATGACATACCATGTAGCCACTGAAATCACAGTAAAAAGGGCATGCTGCACTACCTACACTGTCGTTGTAAGATCCACGATTGTTATTTGCAAAGTCAAATGCCTACAACATTGTTGTTAAAGCCAACATTAAATACTGGTTAGGATGAAATCAAGTTGGAGAATTCAATTGATCACAAGACTGAAAGTCAGAAACACAAACATATGACTAATTTGGATCTCTCAAAATGTGGAGATATAGAGAGGGATGGATTGGGACCCATATTTTCAGAATTTAGATCTATTCTTCTCCATCTCTCCCTCTCTCTCAACATTTTATGTAAAGTGTGCTTGTGAGGATTTGGTACCTTGACATGTATACATACAAAGTTACATACATATATACATGCATGCATGCGCACGCACAAGTGCAAAATATATCCTTTGCAGCTATTAAGTGAGAAGAGAGACTGAGAGTGATGCGCCCCAGTTGCCCATCATAAGTAATTTGGATTTCTTAATTTTCTATCTATCTATTAGCTAAATTTAGTTATATTTAGATACCTTAACAATCTCCTTCTCAATTCAAGTTGAGTCTACAAGCTCTTTATATTGAAGAAGCCATCAATATCAAAGTTCCTTGCTCCTGTATTAAGGGCTAACCCAATTTTGAGGCTTCAAAATGATACTGCATCTATCCAGGTAACAATATCCACCACTTGCTAGTTAGATATTATCTACTATTTTCTCTATCTCTCTTATGCCTCTAAGAGTATGTTGCAAACCATCCCAATACATATATGCATACTTGTTGGGGATCAAGATAATGTCTCAGTCAGTCCAAAATTTACTTCAAGAAACTTCACAAATTCAGAATATCTAAATAATATCCAACATACATACATTCATACCCGTATGGCATGGCTAAGAAGCAGTTTAGAATATTGAGGATCAGAAGCCCCAAACGCCATGGAAGAAGCAGCAAGAGCAGCAGCAATTTCTGCAGAAAGCTCTGAACCAGGCTTGTTTGGAGTGAGAACATAAGTGTTTCTGGGAGTGTCCATGTCTTCGGGTCTCTCCCAACAATCATGATCACCATAGGGTTCTCCAATTTGAGCCACAACGAGATTACGAATTCGTGTGGCTTTCACGAAGTAGTCACTTCCCCATCTGATTGCTTCCAAAGCATTTTGAAGATCTGATTCCATGGAGTTTCCGAATTCTAAGACTCCCCAAGCTAGCATCGTCGTTGAGAATGCCATCGGAAAATGAAACTTAACGTTGTCTCCGGCATCATAGTACCCTCCAACCATGTCAAGCTGATCATTGACAGAGGAGCATGTTATTCAGAAGCTGATTATAATTGAACATGTTAGAGAGAGAGAGTATAATTACATGAGCATCGGAGCCATCATTAAGAGCAGAGTCTTTTCGCCAGGTCATACGCTGAGAAGGTGGCAACTTGCCTGACCTTTGGCCTTCAAAGAACAAAATACTCTTCGTTAATGCATCTCCATAGTTGTGCGATGAATCTGCTCTTACCATCATAAACGACGTCGTCGTGATCATCATCACTATCACTATCACAAATATTGATAATAGCTTCGAGGACAAACCCATAATTCAAAACCCTTTGAACCTGCAGAAAGTACTGTAGTACTGGTTTGATTATTCTAGGTCGATCGATTTCAACGAGAGAAGCAATATATAGTTTATCTCTCTGATGAATCAAATGCTGATTCATGAATGTCTTAAATAGCTCTTCTTTGTCACCATCGTTTTTGTAAATTAAATGCTCATAAGGAAATTTGTCTGATTATACTTCAAAGAAATTTATTTACGCACAATTCCATTGGTGTTTGAGCCATAACTACTCTGGATTTCCGGGGCACAATGATTTTCCTCTGATAAAGAAAGTTAGTTAATGCTTTTGCAAAAATCTTGGACATTAATTAATATTTTTTTAAATTTAATTTTAAATTTTAATAACTTACATTCAAACATTCATCCTTCATATCATTTTTGACAACTATTATTGAGGAGCCGGCACCCTTTTCTTTTTTTTTTTTTAGGATAAAAATATTTCAGTAAGTTAGATTTTGAGAACTCATGGATATGGCTTGCAAGCTCAAAGAGCACTTATAAATTGCTCACCAATAAAGTCCTCATATAAATGAGATTTAAAATCATAACTTTATAGTTTATTGGCCAAATCCTTATCAATTATACTAACCTTTTGTTAGTGTACCCCTTTCATTTTGTTGCTCAAGTTATGCACCTTTTTTTTTTGGTGATTTGTTCCAATGTGTTTTTAGAAATAATTAAAATTAATTGATCATGTATTTCAATGTAAAAAAGTTATGAGTGCGTGAGAATTGGTAGGTAGATCAAGGTGTCCTATGTCTTTTGTATATTTATATACTACTCTGTTTTTAAATATAAGGGAAAAATAATCAACTCACATAATTTAATAAAATTGGCTAAGTATAATAATTATGACTGTAATTAAAAATTTTGCACTAAATTATCCTTGTAATTAATTAAATAAATTTTTATTATGAACATAAACGTTGACTTTATAAAGGACAATTTAAAAAATAAATGATAAATATTTCTTTCATAATAAAAAATGGTAGGAAGGAGTACATTACTACTACTCTCTTCGTTTCTAATTACATGACTTTTTTTTATAGGGTGGTGTATAAAAAAATTCACTATTTAAAAGGTTATTCTCTCTCGCTCATTATCCATATGTTCTTGATCTCAAATTAATTCTCAATTCAACCATGTAGATTATACTTATTGTTGTAAATAAAAGAAATTCGGGTTGAGAAATAAACAATTGTGCCCTTTGGTCATATATGTTTACTTTTCTGAACTCATCATAAGAGTACTAGAAAAGATTACCCACCAAAAACATCTTTGTATTTGTAGCATATGCTTAATTTCACATTGAAAACTATATTTACATTTGATGAACTTTCTTCAACCATAATCGTAGTTTTTTTTTCCCTAACGATTTCTAGCGTCAAACAAAATGCTCGATCACAATCAAATTTGTATGATTCCTTATATAAGGTCTAGGAATTAATTTGAATTATAAAATGAAATGCTACTCCGTTTTTAAATATAAAAGCCTTATGTTTTTGTTTTGGAAAAATGACAAGAAAATCTTCCTTAAATTATATAAATGACAATTTGATTCCTCAAAATGTCATAATTTCACTGAAGTCCTTGGGAACTTCTATGTCAATAAATTTTAGATTAAAAAGATCATTTTACCCTTATTAACAATTGTAAGTTGTGATTTCTTATTCAATTCTTGCAATTCTTTGAATAGAAATTGTTATTCTTTAAATGTAAATTGTGATTGAAATTTGTTATTTTAAGATCTTGTTTTTCAATAACAGAAATTACATTTGACAAATCATAATTTATTGTTCAATTCTGGCAATTCACAGAATATAAGTTGTTATTTTTTAAATAAAAATTATTATTGGGCATGTTATTTTGAGACAAAAATTATGCTTGACAAGTTGTGATTTTTGTTTGATTCTTATGATTCACAAAACAAAAATTGTTATTCCTTAAATAAAAGTTATGATTAGGGCTTCTTATTTTCAATAAGAGTAAAATGTTCTTTTCACTTTAAAATTTATTAATATAAAAGTCCTTCGGGACTTTAGTGAAATTATAATATTTTGGGAGACTAGATGGTTATTTATATAATTCAGGAAATTTTATTGTCATTTTTCCTCTCTTTTTTTATTATAAGAAAAACTACAAATTTCAAAAAATATTAATTATATTTTTTTTCTAAATGGTCACTCATAAATGGATAGTATCATTAAATTAGAGGAACAAGTGATCATTAATTAATTACAATGACATTTTAGTCCAGGTACAAACATTTCAATTCCAGGCATAATAATTATGATCAATTAATTTTCTTAAATTGTATAAATTTGTTGAAATTCTCTTATATTCAAAAACTGATGGAATACAACTTGAAAAAAGTTGAAAAAAACAATAAAGACAACATACGGCGGGCACTTCATGATGGAAAGCACCATAGCTGGCGGAGCCACATTGGAATAATTAACTTTGGAAAAAATTATAAGTGGGGTGTATAAATTTTAAAACTTTACATCTCTTATTTTAATATTTTGCATGCTCTAAATTAAATAAAAAATATTTAGACCCAAAAAATTATTAAATAAATAATATTGCAATAATCTAGATAAGATATAAAGAGTATATTTATAATAAAAAACTATATCAATTTGTTCAATATAATTTTTTTAAAATAAAAAATAATGATAAAACTATTTATATTATTATAATTTTAGTCCTATTACAATTATTATTTTAAAAAAAATATTAATTTTTTATTAAATTATTCGCACCCTCTAACTCAAGATTTTGGCTCCACCATTTTATAGTTCCAATAGGTTAAGGTTTATCAAAGCGCTTCCTGGAACAAATGCTCTATTAGGTCCTAAGTGTGCAATTTTTTCTGAAGACATATCAAAACGCTTCTTACGAGAAGTGTTTGCGTAGGTCTCGTAAAAAAATTAAGAAGAAGGAAAGACTTGCTGATCGCTTTTGAGGAAGTGTTCCCTTTGGGAATTCCTTGTCACATGTCATATCATCGTTCGTATATATAAGCATTCTCACAATCATCTATTTCATACTTCATGAAAACATTTTTTAAGTAAACATATATAACAAAACTTGATCAATATATACTTAATATTTTAGCACGTTTGGATTATCTTGAGCTCCTGAGATAACAAATTGGAGTTTCTTTTTGGCCACTTGTGAATGTAGAACTCTTGTCGGATGCACAAAGTTTGTGGAGTTTAATTTGTTGAACATGCCGGACCCATACTCCATCAAAATTGATTATAGTTGAGCTAAATATGAGAAAGTTGTTGAGAGAATTTAAACTAAACAAATAAGGATGAGCTGGGAAAAGCTTATTTTGATAAGCTGTTTAGAATCTTCGGTTTAAAAAAAAAAAAGATAAGCTATTTAGAATAAGTTACAAAATTAAATTACCTCAATTAAACAAGAATAGTTAGAATCTTGGAAAAATGATAGATAAGGCCCAAGGGAATTAATTAATTCAAGTTAAGTTCAAAAATGACAAACTTTAAGAATTTGCAAGTTTTGCTTTCAATTTTACAAATTCATTGTGATAAATTTATAATTCGTGTTTCAAATTTTAATAGAAAAAATAAATTTGCTTATTACTCAATCATGTTGAGATTGGAAAAACAAATTGCAAATCACAAAGAATTTGTAAAACTGAAACATGAACTTACAAATTCTTAAAGTTTTGCATTTTGAAATTTAATTTGAATTAATTGATCTTCTTGAACCTATCTATCATTCTTCCTAGAATCTTTGGTAAAAAAAAAAAAGATGAGCTATTTAGAATAGCTTATAAAATTAAATTACATCAATTAAAAAATAGCTTATGAAAAGGTTAAAAATATTTTTTCTGATAAAAATTTCTTAATTAGCTTAGTTTTTTTCTTAATATAAGTATTAAACTTAATTAAAATCACTTTTAAAATTTTTAAACAAAATGGCTTCCCAATAATTTTATGAATAATAAATTTTTTTTGAAAAGTGAGGAATAATAATTTTAATTTTGAAAAGTGAGGATTTTTTTGATAAAAAGGGACTAATGAAAAGGATTATTTTTTGATAATTTTATGAATAATAATTTTTTTGAACAGGATTTTTTTTATAATTTTTGTAATTTTTTTAAGAAATGTTTTAAAAGTTAAATGTGATATTTAACCAAAAAGGTTAATGAGTCTCAAATTTTATAGTCTAATTGATTAGGTTAATAGGTGAATTGGTGATGTAATAATTAAATAAAATTAATATTAAATGTATATATAAAAAACTAAGTTAAGCTAACCTGACTTAATCATGAAAAAGGTTTTTTTTAATCTAAATTCAACTATTAACGGTTTCAGTGGTTAAAGCTCCTCTAAGTACTAGTAATCCTTTTTTTTCTCATTAAAAATACTAGTAATCCTAGAACATAGTATTAGACAAAGGTATACCTTCAATATTAGCTATCGTCCAATAATTGATGTTGTGGGTCCTACAAAATGTGACAGCTGGCATCTTAGTTGGAAAAATATTCTAGTCTTTTTGTGCTAATTCTTCGCCTTGATTAGGTTTTCCCCAAATATTCCTCCACTGCACAAAGAATCAAGCTGCAAGGAAGCATAAGGAGCAGTGATGTGTAGAAGTTCTCCAATCTTATTTAATCTTGTTTAATTTAAGAAGGTGATCTAATCCTATTCAATCCTATTAAAAACTAATTCTTTAAAGTTGAAAAGATTAAAAACACTAGTGTTTTTAATTTCAATAAAGGAAGAATTATAATAAAATTCTATATAAAAAATTAATTACTATAAAATTTATTAACATCTAAATTTAGACCATTGATAATTGATTATGTTATTAATGACCTTAATTTAATTATCAATAAATCTTATAATAATTAATTTTTTTATACAGGATTTGAATGTAATTCTCCCTTCAATAAAAGCATTAAAACTAGAAGCGAGTTTAAAGAGATGGTCTACAGTCTATCTTGAGAGACCCTCACCCTCTTAGGGTTTGTTTGAATATATAACTTTTAGTTTTTGTAATGTACTTTTGCACTTTTGAAATGTAGAATGTTATTATATTAGGGAATTTTATTATTGGATAAACTAATTTTTTGAATGTAATTGAAAAAGTTATTGAAAGTGAATTTGATAACTTAACTTTTTGAAACTTTTTAAATTGATTTTCTAATGTTGAGTTTTTGAATTTATTATACTGGCTTTATTTCCTTACATTACTTATTATGTGCTTTGTTTTATTAAAATTTAAATTTAGTGCAATATTCATAAGGTCAATTAGATTATATGAGGAGGAAATTTTGTAAACCTTCTATACATGAAAAAGAAAAAAAATTAATCTTTTTTATAGGATATGCCATTCAATATTAATAACTATTGAATTATTTATTACATTTTTTTCAATATTAAACTTTACATTTTTTATTCTTATTATTTAACATATTAAATTTTATGTTGTTTTTAATTTTTTTCACATTTTTAATATATTATATTTACATAACAAAAATTATAAATTATTATAAATTAATATCCTGATTAATATATATTCAAAAGTGTATTTTAAAAATATAAATTATTATTAATCTAAATAATTTTTAATTTATTAAATTATCTTTTAATTAAAAATATGTTTAAATATAAATTTTATTATAATAGTTAATTTTTATTAAATTAATTTTTATAAAATAAATTTTTAATAAATTAAAAATCAAACAAACTTGTAAATTTTACCTTCCTTGTGAGGCTAGCCACGTGGGACTCATGACGCACCACTGTTGCCTTCTTTATCACACTCAGAAGTTTGCTCGGTCTCCTCTCAGATTCTCAAAATCTCTGCCTATTGTCTTCACTACCGCGGTGGCCGCCACGAACAACCGCCGGCTGCAGATCTCCGGTCACTGGCGCTTGGTGCATCCCTCAGTTTGGCACATTGATTTGGATTTCAGTGAAGAAGAACAGGTTTGTCTGTTAATCTTTTTTCCCTTTTCCGTTATTCTTTTCGTGTCCGTTTGAAGAGATCGTCCTTTTCGTCTTTATTCGCATGTAGTTTTTTTTTTTTTTATTAGTCTAAGCTCTTCACATCTTGGCTTCTGCGTAGGCTTTTTTGCCCTCAAAGTGAAGGATTTTTGTGCTTGTCACTCCTTTCGTATTGATTGGTTGTTTTTAATGTCACTAATTTGTTCAAGAAAATTTCTCCTAGTGTTTTGCTTTTAAAATCAGCGTTTGACACTCTTATGTATTGGCGCTATGTATTGTAAAATTTCTCTCTGTTCCATCTTTTCACCTTAATCGAATGCAATTTCCTGAAATTCTAGGCTCTTGACTGAGCTTTGGGGGAAATAATAAAAAAGCGGCAGAGTAGGAGAGGGAGAGGGGAAGATGCAGCAGAGAAATTCGACAATTGGAAGGCCTTCTGGGACGGATGGCTCAGATTACTCATACCGTATGGTCGTTGATTCACGTAAGCTTCAATTTTGAGTTGTTCCTGGATCATCAAGTTTTTTCTTTTTGTTTCGGCTACTATATTTTCTTGATTTTCATGGAGCGTAGATTGTTGAGCTAAATATTTTTGGGTCTTATTGGTCTTTTGGTGGCGGTCATGTTACATTTAGGGTATCAGCTGGTAGCGAAGGGAAAGAAACGCCTTTCTGGACTTCTACCTCTTCAGGTACCTTAGGTTTCTCTTAATTTCTGCTCCTCATGTTTCTTAATATTATTCTAGGATTTCTCTGCCAATAGGCAATTAGTGTTCTTTGTTTTTGTGTATCTGTTGAGGGTTTCTTGACAGGATTTTCTAAGTTTTAGTGAAAAATGATGTGCCGCTACTGTATAATCCTGTTGCAGGGAAATGGTCCTACTGTTATGAATTTTTTGGAAATCGTAAAAAGGATCCACTTTGTTTGTTAATCAAATTTCTGTATGATATTGGCATTGATCTGTTCTAATTATACTGTGATAAAAAGTACCGATTTAAAGGACGGTTTGGTCAGACGGTCCTATAGTTAGCTCTACCTCTCCTTGATTTTACACCCTACCCACAATGTTTGGATATTCTAACTCATTATGCCTAGGGATATTTTTCACAGCACGAGAATTCTTAATTAGCATATCTGCTTCCGAACTGTAACGGGAAGATGATAAATGTCACCTTAGAAGATATGAAGGTTGGTTCTCCCCCCCCCCTTTAGTAGTTGATGCATCTGGTAGCAGTTACTATGGAAGCAATGGTTTTTTTAGGTCAGTACTAAACTGTATTCATACAAAGGAATTGAGTCTTTGCATTGATCATGGACCTGTGAATATCATGACAAACCACTTTTATTGTGAATTGGTCATGCTTTAGTGTCATATTATTCAAATCTCCAGTAAGGTTACCTTGATTTTCTTCACTATCATCAGCACATAGACTTTACTGAATTCCCCCCACAGACTCATCATCATCAGCATATGGTTTTTCATTCTTGTTCCCCTCGCTTCTGGTATTGACAGTTTTCAATTTGGCTGGTGCAATTATTTGACTATAATAAGTGTATATTTTTGTCAACACTGAAGTAGTCCTCTTTGATTATTGCCAAACTTTCACGGGTCCCCATACTGATTTGATGAAACATGTGAAATGACAGCCCATATGGTTCAATTATTTTGGGACTTTGGAATAGAAATAGGGTCTTTGTTTCTTTGTCAAGGATGTTTGATTGGCTCCACTTATATAGAATCAGCTTTCTCATGAAACCAAGATTAGCTGTGTATGAGATGAATCATGATTCCTGAGCACCAAGGTCTAAAATAGCCTTGTCATCTCATCCTTCATCCACTGTCCCCCTTTTCTAGTGGTTGTCTGCTCCATCCAAACTTTCCAGTCACCGCCATCCCTCTGCTGACCATTGTCTTCCTTGACTTCCTCATCTTCTTCTTCCTGTGACTTCAGGAACCCATTGTTCATGCTGGGTCTTTGATTTTACATTTTTTTTAAATTCAGATCTGTTACAATGGAGGGGATGATTGCTGTCATCGCTTTTGGTTTGTCTTGATCAGCTGTTGTCATTGCCATCTCTGAACCAACACTTGCAGTTTTTGATGCCTAGGTGTTTTCAGTCCTGGTTTTGCTTGAGCATCCATTTTCAAATCTGTTACTGCCTCTTTACTTTTCCTCCCTTCAATTTTGGATTTTTAATTTGATTTTGGAAATCTAGCATTTGATTTTGATTATGGAAATGTGGATTGGATTTTGATTTTAACTTTGATTTTGCCATCTGATAAGGGAGGAGAAGGACGAAGGAGGAGGGTGTGGGAAAAAATTGATTAAGGGTATTTTGGTCTTTTTATTTTTATTTACTTAAATGTAAAAAATAAACTAATATCATTCTCAACATTCATACGAAACAGATATTCAGTGATCACTGGCCATCATAACATTCCATGCTATTCCCTATAATTTTATTACTATTATTTCTGAGGACCAATCTGGATGGGCTGTGAAGGATTCGCTTCTTCCTTAATCCTGTTCTCTCTCTCTAGTTGCTGCAGTCTTCATCTCCATGCTGAAAAATATGATGGATCTGCGGCTTTTGGGGCCAAGATATTGAAGAGCCATGTTTTCTCTGTTCTTGAAGCTTCTCTACCGTTGTATCCCTTTATTTTGTGGTTCTTGAGTTCTGTGTCTTGTATTTCTATATCCTAATCCATTCAACCTGTGAATGTGATAGGATCTTTTCATTATATTTCTATCAGTTTAATAGAAGAGCATTTCTTTGTGTCATTTTGGCCTGGTTCCATCAAAATATATTCAAGTTGTGGGGATGCTATAAGCTTCAAAGTATATAATCATGTTCAACCTTATATTTCATTCTCTTGTCCAACCTTTTGAAGCAGATTGGTACAAACCTTTTAACTGACATTTCTTGACTGTTGTTTTGGTGTTTGGAGAGCAAGGTCTTATTCTTTCAGTTCTTGTGATTAAAAAGAACATTTCTAAGTTTAACCTGTTTTATTTTTAACATCGAAAGGCAAAATATGGCAGGTGATAGTTGTATGTTTGCGTGCATGTAACCAAAACGCACATTAAGAATATAACTCATGAAGACACAGTAATCTTCCATAAATTACATCACAAATCATAAAAAATAAAATGGTTTTGATTCTTAGCTTTACCCTAAGATATCTAAATTTTGCTTCATTAAATTCTGCACCATCATAGTGATCATCATTAGGCAATCCCTCAGTTTACTCTTCATCTTTTGGAAGGTGGTAGTGGTACCACCAGAGGCTTTAATCATGGTAGTAAGGTAGTCGATTGGGAGCATGAGCTGGTGCTCTAGAAACACATATCAGTCGGTGGCTGTGGAAATGGTGGTGGTGGGGGAGGACCAGAGGAGAAAGGTGACAGAAAATGTTACCCTACTTTCACTTTGTTTGCTGCTGGCTCTGGTAGTGACCACAATTTTTTTGAGAATTCTTTAATTCAGGTTTCCTCTCTATTTAGCTGTATGCATAATGCACAGTACAGCTAAAGAAATATAGCGCTTGTAGTGTGGTTATAACCATAATACACAAAATTTGCAATGCCATACATGTAGGTAGCATCATAGTACATTGCGCTCAACCACCAGCCAAAACATACTATTACTAGTGAGGTTAGAGTTTTAAATATAAAAATCAAGAATCATAGCCCATGAGCTTACTGATGAGTTTTGCATCTTTGATCATTTCCCACTTTCACTTTTGGAGATGGTGGCAGCGAATGATGAAAGTTAGTTGTTTGACTTGTACTGTTACTTTGTATTTTCTTTGTTCATAGTTTGAATGGAAGTTGTCAGTTTTCCATTCAAAATAGTAGTAGTAGTAATAATAATAATAATAATAATAAAGAATCATCAATCTTGTTTACAGTGGAATTTTATTTATGTGGGCGGGGAATTTTTAACCAAAATAATTTGTTGATGTTGGCATTTAAATATCAATACCTTTTTATTTTCATTGTTCATGGCCAAGTAAACTCATAATTATTAGTAAGCCTAGAGCCTTCATTAAGGTTAATAGTAACCAATATTTTCTTTATTTTTGATGGCTGTCTTCATTTCTTCTTTATATGATTTGATTCTTTGAATGTTGCCCTGTAGGCTTTATTTCTATTGATAGGAGTGATATTTGCAGTCTTACCGGGAACAGAAGAGGATACTCTGGATACAGTTGCTCTTGGTTCAGTTGCTTGTGGTCTCATTACCCTGATCATTGCAGAATTTGGTTGCTAAACCCACTTTTTACAACATTACATTTTGTTTTACTGATCTTTTAATTTTCACCAGCTAAATAAACTTTCTTTGTCTTTTTGTTGTAAAGGTAGAAGGCGAAGCAGGGCCAGTTTCTTGGGAATTTATACGTTTACATCATCTATAGCAATGCTTCTGGCTGTGATTCTGGCTAGGCGTCATTCTGTGATGAAGGTAAATATATCAATGTGTTATGCACACTAAATTTCCACAAAGAATCAATGAAAGAAGACTAACAGCAAAAGTATGGAACTTCATATGGTGGGCAAAAAAATGATAGATATGATCTGGAAATAAGCTCTAAATGAATAGCCTGACAAATTAATGAGATTAATATACTCTGTGTTATGAGAATGTATGTGCATGGCCTAGCCCAATGGGCAATTTAAAAATCAAAATCTATGGTTTGATTCCTTCTTGAGGTTTTTCCCTTTTTTTCATCATAGAATTTTATCAGTATGGGAAGAATGTACAGCTAGTCAGAGGAAAGGAAATCCTCAGTCCAGAAAGAGAAGAAAAGCTGATAACTGAACATAGTAACAGGAACCTAATATTTTGCAAGAGCTTTCCAGTCTCCTTGCACATCAGATAAGGAATTCTCCTCAATAGGATGGCCTTTTTCTAAGCACTAAAGGGAAGCCATATGCACAATTGTGTCCCACAAAAACAACAACAACAACAACAACAAGCCTTTATCCCACAAAAACAATTAGGGATAATGATGTGTCATTGAAATTGCATGCATTTCTGTCCAACCAACCAAACTGCAAAATCTGATAAACCAAATGGATGTGGCTGCTTTATACTTTGACCTAGTTAATTCTATATCTTCGATTATTTTAGTGTTGTTAAAAATGTTGCTTACCCTGTTGTTTAATCCAAGGTTTATACTATTGTTTTCTGATTTTAGCATGCAAATTCATATTTAGAACTTGATTGCAATGTTCATAGTTGTTCTTTGGAACACCTCTCTTAGGTTCTTAAGGACTCCAGGCTCTGGCAAACAAGGAAGTTTGACCTTAATGGTTTTCCTGTTCTTCAAGCTGGCAAGTGTTTCCTCCTAATCTAAACGTTTTATGCATTGTGTTGTAATTGGAGTTGTGATTGAATATTTATTAGATCCGTCATGTTTTAACTATTGCAGGCTTAGTTGTATATGCAAGTGCAATGCTGGTGGTTCAGTTCCTTATCACCAAAACGACCATTTCCCTCATTTCCAACATGTCGCCTCCCAGAAAAGCCAAACCCTCTTAGCCTCTCATCGTTTTTGCAGAGTCTAGCTTATACACCCCTCCCCCGGGGTACCACGGATTGGTCTGTATTTTTTTTTTTTCTCAAGAGATTGAGATAAGCCTTTTTTTTTTTAAAAAAAAATACTGAGCAGGGAAAAAGTAAATTAAAGACTTGATATTTGTAATTTTACGATTTAATCATGTGACCTATTAAGAGATGGTCAAAGGGATGTAAAGTGGCTTTGTTAAATATGCATTTCAACTTAATGGGTAGAAAATGAATCTCAAGATTTCAATGCCTAAGAAGATGCAAAAAAGTGAAGTATGATGCACTGTTAATATAAAATATGAATAATATGATTATACTGGGAGATTAGGAGAATTACGTTGAGATTCTCAAAACACAATCATTTATTATAAGATTCATTGACAATTGAATAAAAAAATGACAATTATATTTAATTGTCAATATATCTTGCATTCAATCATGTTGTGAGAGACTTGAATGTAATCCTCCCATTTATATTTAGACTGATAGATAATGCAAGGGGATTATCTTTGTTTGTCGGAAGTATTGTTTTGGCAATTAATTTTTCAATATAATAAAGCCTTAGGAGCTAATTGTGAAAGAGAGGAAATTATGGATTCAATTACAATACATTAGGGCTCCCTCTGCACAAAAATATAAATGTCATTTCAGCCAAGGCTTTTGGATTTGTGTAAATTTTGTTCTGTGCATAACTTCAAAGAATGAATCCAGTTGATCATGAATTATAAATATAATAGTGCAGTTTATTTTAAATTTTATGTTTTATACTGATGTATTGTTTATTCACAACATCTTAAACTTTAACTGTCAAATCAATAGGACTAGTGATGTTACATGCGTGCTTCCTCCAGTACATTTTAAAAAGTTTATTTAATTACATTTATAAATTATGGTATAATTTTTTAGGTAATATTTAAAAAATATTTTTAAAATTACTTTTTATGAAAGAAAAAATAACATTACTTTTTAAATTTGTTATATAAAGAGACATATTTGAAATTCTATACATTTATATTCCTTTTTTTTTGGGTTAATATTGATAAGATTAGTAAAAATGATTTATAAAATAGGCCATAAGAGTATGTGCCAAGTTCTAATTATTGACATGTATAACAAAGCAACAGAGAGCTTTATTAGCTCTAAATTGTAATGTGAAAGAGTAATTTTGCATGACAATAAAGCTCGGGATAGATTTTAATGCCGGGAAGCATGAATTAGGGGTTTAGAATTACTCGTTGCTATCATTATTTGATAATATTTATTTTATAATAGATAAAGGAGAATCATTTTTCATTTCAATCTTAATTTTTATACTTAATTTATCATTTTATGTAGACAGGATGGTAATTAAGAGCTTGTTTGGTTTTTGTTCTCATTTTTTATTTTAAAAATTCTGTTTTGCAATATATTTTATAAAATTGCTTTTTCAAAATAAAATGAGAAAATTTATTTGGTTGTATTAATTAAAAAAAATTAAAGTTTTAAAAATTAGTCGAGGTAGTTAATAGTAATGACTTATGATAATTATTAATTAAGGTAACTGTAACTTTTAATAATCAAATATAATTATTTTGAAAATAAAAAAATAAAAAAAACATTATATTTGATTATTAAAAATTAGATGTTTTTATTTTTAATTTTTAAAAAAATGAGAACAATTTTGAAATAATTAGATTGAAAACACTAAAACAAATTTTTAAATTTTTTGTTTTTTAAAACAAACAAAAATCAAACAGGCCTAACTTATCTTAGGAGCAACATGATTGAACTTGGGCCATTGTATCTTCCTCAACTTGATGTTTATATTGGAAAATAGTTAGAATGGTTTCTTGAGGCTCGTCAGGGCCATGTTTGGCTGTGCATGGCATACTATACCAAAACCAAAGGGTTCTTCACGCGGTTGAACTATCCTGCAATAATGGTTTTATCAAAGATTTAAAGCAAACCACTTTGTTAGTTACACCAAGAAAAGGAATTAAAGTTGAATATCATCATCTTTGAGTCTAGTGGTACAAAATCCCCTTTCTTTATAAGGAAGGTCATAAGTGCATGCCTTTGAATAGCTCTTTATTATAAAGTATATTTAACTATCTAATCAGAATTAATGAAAAATGATTAAATCATTAACTTTATTTAAAAATAGAATAAAGTTTAGATAATATTTTTTAAAAAAATTTACATCACATTCTCTCTCAACTCTCATAGTTAATGAGTTTACATAGAATAATATTAAAAAAAAAAATCTTTGTTGAAACCAAGGGTTGTGTTTGAATGTGTATAAATTGAGTTTTTTTAAAAAAGAGAAGATGGTTTTATATGAGTAACAGATCCTCTAAAGTTGAGAATTCATGAATATGATCAAGTTTGTCTTTCTTTAAAGAAGAGAATGAGTGAGGTGAGAGAGAGCGCAATGGTGAAAGACTTAAGAGTTCGTGCCTTCCTTGAAAGTTGGTTTATGAAAGCCAAGGCGTTGCTGGCTAACTGAGCAACTTTCACAATTTGACTCATTACAGAACTCTTAACCTCACCATCCATAACCCATCACTGTAAGTGACTTTAGCAGCACTCACCCAAATCCCAACATCATTGATAGTTGTCCCAAATTTGAATTGCCCAACCCAACCTGATTTTGAAATCAACTGCGGTGTTAGAGATCGTCCACGGCGTCACTCATTTGAAATTCTAGAGTACTTTTCTTATTATTTTCTTCAAAACTAGAGTGCTACCAAACCTTAGTTCCCTAATATATTTTATATCTTTAATTTTAATTTGAACCATTCATCACTATATTTTACTTGCTCTAAATTTGAATGAAAATTAGGGACATAATGCCCATTTATTGTTTAACTTGATTTTGTATGAAAATAACCTTGATTTGTTATTAGCTATAGTTTGTACCTGTGCACTTGCGATGTCTTTCAAAATGCGATACTCTCATAGAAAGATTTTAATTTGGTGTGCATCACATGTCTTTCACCACTTCAACACACAATTATTCCACTTTTCCAGTTATCTTGATCTTTGTAGAAGCCACTATTTCTGAAATAAATAATTAATTTTTGAGAATCAAAATTTGCATGGGCTTTATAACATCCCATGGGTTTAGTTCCAAGGCTATTTGGATTGAGCCCACCACTATAAACATGGATCAAAAGTAAAATTATTTGAAAGAATGACAGTTAGGTTCCTAAAAGTTAAATTAATATCAGTTAAATTCATGACAAATTTTTTGTTTTTGAAAAATAAGTTAAAATATCAATTTAAATTATTATAAATCAAGGAATTTCAATTGCAAATAAATATTTAAAAATCAAATTTAAATTTTATATTTTAGTAGAAATTTTTGCTTGTAACTTTTTAAATTGATATTTATAATTTATTTTATAAAATTTTTTGTTAAAGACCTAGTTGTTATTAATTCATTCTTCTAGGACTTAACTGTCATTCTCCCAAATTATTTTATTTGTCCACATTTTAAAAGATAATTTCATCAACGTTAGTATACATTCTAATGATTATTTACTAAGTTAACCAGTATACCGTAAATATATATATATATATATATATATAAAATCAGTATATCTCCAAATGTAATTCCATCAACAATTCATATTTAAAACAAGCATAACAAAATGGTAAACTAGCACAATTAATGATTTTGTCGCAAAGGTTTATATAGATTACAAATTTACTGTTTTAAATTCATCATGTATCTCTAGAGCACTTGTTTGTTCAGAGTCCATCGGGCAAGCCTTGAAAACGGTATTATGATCACCAGCAGAATAATTTCTCTACCATGAAAGATGAACTTGTCTTCCTTCAATTGGATCATCAGTGGAAATTGTTGCTTCCTGTTACAGAATGAATTGAACCTGATCGAGGACCATGCTTAGAAGACTCAATCCCAGTTACTTGTATAAATAAATTAAAGTAGGCAGTTTGTGAGACCTAATTTCAGAATTATGATATCAGAAGAATTTAGGCAAATACACTTCAAAGTATGTAGCTCTAAATGAGAAGAGGACATAGCGAAGTGCTTCGCAGATCATATAAACGTCATACTTCAGCATTGCATTCACTGTTTTTGATAGAGGTGACTCGATGGTGTTGGGTGGAGCAATGTAACGATCGCTACTGCCAAAGCATAAAAGTTGATGTTATAAAAACCATAAGTGTAAATTTAGAAGGTTATGGAACTGTTTGCTTTCTATTCCCTTTTTTTATTTTTGAAAACTATTTTATAATGCTGTTTTTAGAATTGTTTTTCAAAAAATAAAAATGCATTTGGTTATGTTAATTAAAAAAATTTTTAAAATTAAAGAAATAAGCTGATATTGATGGTTGCATGTGGTTAATAGTGACTATATTTTTCAATAATTAAATATAGTTTGTTTTGAAAATAAAAAAGATTAAATGAAACCAATTCTAAAATGCTTTCATTTTTTAAAAAAGGAGAACAAATTTAAAACTAATTAAATCTAAAACACTTATCCAAATGAGTTTTTTTTTTTTTGTCTTTAAAAATAGAAAATAATTTTTGAAAATAAAAACCAAACAGCCCTAAATATTAATGATCAAAACTTCCAAAATTTATTATTAAGGGATTAAAGGATGACTAGATGAAATTTCATATGTGTGTGTATACTCCATGCGATCTTATTTGCATGACATCTTTTTGAAAAAAAAAATTGATTTAAAATATATGATATTTTGTAATATTTAAACTATTTTTTTAATATTACTCCTTCTTAATTAACGTAAGATATTTAATATAGTTATATTATTATATTTAAAACTAAATGTTAAAATGGAAGTATATCTCATCTTTTATGATATAAAAAAATTATGTACAATCATTAAAAACGTTCTACAATGATAATACACAATCATCTCGTACCTCGCTTTGTCCGTAATACGTGGAGTCCATGAATCATCTGATTTGCCTTCCTCTTCTGAAATAGGAGAAGATGGCTCTGGAGACTCGGTTTCACCTATTTCGTCCATGGCATGATAGCTTTGATCACCTTATGAGAAAGTTGAGTTGTCCTTGCTTTTATTGTGCTTCATTGAACCATGCATCTTCCTCTAAAAAACGGCACAATTTTTAAGTATATCTTGCAAAATAATTAAACAGTTAATATTAACAGCTTAATTATGATGGGCAGTTCCTATCACTAGTCAAATTGTATGAATATTAAAAACGAATGCAGCCAAGTGTATAAAAGGAAGAAAAGAAAGTCACTTTTCTTGGTGAATGAAAATAAGTTTTAAATTTTTGTCCAAACATGAAAATCAGCAAGAGACTCTTTTTGTTTTCCGCCGGCGGACCCAAATTGCTTTTTAAGACAATACTTGAAACCTGGAGAGATATTATATTTTTTGGGGGTGAATTATATATGCTATTACATTGACCTTGAATCTATCGTAGCTCATTATTAATGTGTTGAAGATATGGATAGTAATTTAAAACAATATAATTGGACTAAAAAAAAAAGATAGATTAGATACTAATAAAGAAAGTGATTTACTTGATCGCCGTGCACTTCCGTTGGTAAAAGGAGCCTTTCAAAATCCATCTTGCTCATGACCCGCCACCCACACCTAACGTCCAGTTTATATTTCCTTTCAAATTCAGCATCAAATTTCAAGTGAAGTCGGCTGTAATCCTTTGATAAACTCGAGCATGTTTGCTTCCCAATCTGCCCAAACAAGATCCAAAGGTGGGGATGATATCTTAGCTTCTCCAATTTTGGATCCCTTCCTTGCAAGAAGACGAACTGATCATCACAAGCTTTAGCAAAATAATAGCGCCACCTGCAAAATGCATGTCCGTTGTAATAAAACAGGATTTTCAAGGACAGTGCATAATGCAAATCCAAGCCAACCCGAAGAAGGGACATCCTCAATGATTGAACTTTCATCTTCCTCATCCAGGCGAAGGGTTTTTTGGCTCTGAAACCAAGATGGTATTTTAGTCCCCAGAATAGTGACCGAAAAGGTTTTAATGGATATTGAAGCCCATGAGTCAGCGTTCAATCTATGTGATTTCCATTCGGCGTATGACCCACTCTAAAAACAGAAATTTGTCAAGTCACATTAAAAGTATTTTTAATAGTTAAATAGTTTTGTATAGTTGATAGATACTTGATAAACAATTGTAAATTAATTGGGTTGTTTGATTTGGCAATTTCTATGCACAGGAATGGGTAAAATTAATAAAATAAATATAGTATAAAAAAAAAATACTTTTTACATCGGTTATTACCACAACTGTTGTAGAATATAATATTTTTTATACCGGTTATTACCATAACCGGTGTAAAAAATATTATATTCTACAACGGTTGTATAATAACCAGTGTAAAAAGTACACTTTTTACACCGGTTGGGATCTGAACCGGTGTAAAAAGTTAAGTAAATTTTTTTTAATTTTCTTGTATATAATTTTCAACATTGGCTCTATAACCGATGTAAAAAATTTAATTTTTACATCGGGTTTATAACCGATGTAAAAAGAAGGACTTTCTGCATCTCTTGAAACAACATCGTCTCTTTAACCGTTGTAAAAAGTCATTTTTAACCGCTGTAAAAAGTCATTTTTGTACTAGTGAATTTTGTCAGAAGGATTTTAAGATTTGTGCAATTCTTAAAGTTTAATTCAACAAGGCTTTCGTGCTTGCCAAGCGATGGATCAATTTGAACAAGTGCCTCGCATCCTTCGAGAACTAATCTTTCTAGTTTTTGAAACACCAAAAAATTTGGAATTTCAATGAGGCCTTTCGAATAGCTCAAGTCCAAAAACTTTAGATTATCCATCTGAGAAAAAAAGATCAGAGAATTATAAGCTATAAAAAAACACTTTGCTTAATAAAATGAGTTAATGTGAGAATGATCAAAGTAACTTACTCTGCTTTCAAAACTGAGCAGCTCGGTTTTGCTGCATCGCATTTTGAGACATACGGGTTCATCCAGATTCGTACTTGACGGAAGAGTTTTTAGAGGATATCCATCCCAATGGAGAACTTTTAATTTGCCAGGCACTTCCAAACTTGGGGAAAGGTCCTCAATGTTACATGATATGATGAGCATTCGGAGGCTCTTCATTGTTGAAAAGGCTGTAGAATTCCATATTTTCTGAATTCTCTGAAAGCTATTAGGCAAAACTACACCTTCTGTTGCATCAGTTCCCTGATGAGAAACATTGATCGCCTGGTGGAATATCAGAAGAAAATGGTAAGAAGATAAGGCATATCAAAATTCAGCAATAGTAAATAAGTAATTAATTGCTCACCTTATTATTTTCTAGTATTTCATCAATTTCCACGGCCGACCACAATCTGCTGCACCTTTCAGCATGGTCAGGATATTCCTCTTGAACAATGCTCCTACCCATATCTTGAATCAAAGTATGCATCTTTATATACTTGCTATTCCCAATCTCAACTTCATCTACCAAAGATTTTCTTATGAGACTACAGATACCAATTGTCGCGTCAAAACCACAACTATCCAATATTTGAGTTACCTCATCGATCCTCCACATATTAAAAAAACATGCAATATCTAAAAATATTGCCTTTTCTTCAGGAGTTAATGCACCATAACCTATTTTAAGTATCTCATGCATGTGATTGTCTGATTCTTTCTTCAACATATCAAGAGCTTTTTCCCATTCATCTGCATTTCTTCCACAAAAGAAGGAACCCAAAACACACAGGGCCAGAGGAAGGCCTTCTGCGTAATTTATGGCTAATTTAGACTTCTCCAAAAAGGCTTCTTCACGGTGATCTCTTCCAGTTGCTTTTTGACAAAAGAGTTGAAAAGATTCATCCTCATTCATTGGTTTAACCTCATATATTGAGTCCACGTGACATGATCTAAGTAAGTGGACATCTCTTGTAGTTATAATAACCCTACTCCCAACACCAAACCACTCTGGCCAAGCTGAGCTCATTAATTGTTTTTAGAAGTTACATCATCAAAGATAAGCATAACTTTTTTATTGTGCAAATGGATTTGTAGTGTCTTCTTTGCTTTGAACGTGTCCTCACTTTCAATGTTTTCTTTGAGATGTGAAAGCAGTTTTTCTTGCAAGCTAAACAATAGATCTCCCCCAACAAAGCGGAGAAGACAATGAAAATCAAATTGGTTGCAGAACCTCTCATAGATAGCTTCTGCAAGAGTTGTCTTGCCAACTCCATCCATGCTCCATATTCCTATGAACTTAATATCATTAAGCTTCTTCGTCATGTGTAATTCAATTTCATGAATTCTCTGGTCAATACCAATCAGTTTACCACTGATGGTTGGCGGCCACTTACCATAAATTTGGTTCCACAACTTTTTAACTACATCATCAATAAGTTTTGATTCGTACCTACAAGCACAGCAACATTAAAAAAATTTATCAAAATCATAAAAAAATTGATATTAAATATGGACGGTTCAAAATATATCTAGATAGTTAATTTATAAAAAAAAAAGATAATTTTTTTAATATTAAATTGGACTGTCTAGATTATATATGTATTATTTAGAATCAATTATGGTAGTCAATTTATAAAAATTATAAAAAATTTTTAATATTAAATTAGATTGTCTAGAATAAATTTGTATTGATCAAATTGATGATGAACAAATTTATTAAAAGAATTTATAAATTTTTTTAAATCTTGTTTTAAAAATATACAATAAAAATAAAAAATTAAATTTATACAGTTCATATCTCATTAGGAGTGATGAGTACTGCTCATCCCCTGATGAAGACTAAAATTAGTTCATATTTAATATTAAATTTATTTATTATCTTTATAAATTTTTACTTTGGTAAATACAATATTAAAAATATATTAAAGATCAATTTAAAATGAAAAGCAGAAAATCATCCCAAATTAAATGAAATGAAAGGCTAAGATCAGCTATCTGAATTAAAACACTGGATTCGAATCAAAATTTTTTTTTTGGGCCTTTTGAATTTTCGATGTTTATAAACAATTATAAGAAGAACATAAATTTCAGGTACAAATTAATAATTTATTTAGGAGAGAGACAAAATTTTAGTAATAAAAGAATTACCTACATTCTAAAATTTTTAACGGAGAACAATATTTTTTCGTCTTTATCATAATTTTAAAAATTTATAATGAATACTTTCAACTTGCGTATGGGCACGAAAGACCCAAATAAAAAAAGTTTGACTGTAATCAATCATTTTTGTTTTTGAATACTAGTGGACATGAAAGGGAAGAAAAATAGAGAAACAATTAATAAAAAAAAAGGTTGATTGCCAATTTGAGAATACGAAGTGCAATACTTCTTAACAAATAAATGTTCCATCTCACAATGAAAGAGTTTTTTTTTTTCCCCTCTCTTTGAACTAGAATATGTGGAGCCATTATGCATTGCAAATATATGTCTTGAATATGCAGGAATGTCAGCATTGTTGCATGAATTGACATAGAAATATAAACGATGTTGTAAAATTTAATCATTGAAAAGAAAAAAAAAATACATACCACTCCCTGGAATCCCGACCAGATATCCGACCAAGTTCCATTAGAGTCTCTGTCCATTTTTCCACCTTGTCATTGGGAAACCTTTCCTTAAGCCTATCAAAAGCCTCACCGAAACTTCCTTCAAACTTTCTCACATGAGATAGATCTACGTCATAAAAGATGGGAATAACTCGTAGGTGCAGTTCATTTCTCGAGTTGAAAATAATATGTTGGAGCTCCTCTAAACACCATGAAGAAGAGGCGTAATTTTGGGACACAACAACAATTGCAAAGCGAGATTGCCCAATAGTTTTAAGGAGTTCCTCTGAGATAATTTCTGCCCTCTCAAGTTCTTCCTCATGTCTGAAAACTTCAAATCCTCGCCTACATAGCTCAGTATACAAGTGGTCGGTAAAATTTTTACGAGTATCTTCACCCTTGAAACTTAAAAAAACATCATACTTCCAATTCTGGGCTGAATTGAAGTTAGATGAAGACTCTGAGGAACATGCCACTAGGTCACTTGCCATTGGAAGATTTTAGCCCGACAATTATTTAACTGAGAATGTAATTTGAAGTAGTATAATTTGTGGCCTGCAAACAACAAAACCATATCATTAGCTAAAGGAAAACAAATCAAATATGAAATGAAAACGAAAGAAACAAGGTAAAAAACAAAGGCGCTAGATAGATGTCTAATACATTGACCCACTCAATGCTGCTTAGGTGATAACTCTAAACATCAATGCTTGATATATACTAGAGCAAGAGTTGACTTGCAGTTGGCAACATTAGATCTTTACCGGATCGCAATATTATATCTTTTCCGGTAAAGATCAATGTTGCAATCCCACTGCAACATTAGATCTAATGTTTAAAAGCCGAAGTTTCAACCCTCATCTTTAAAAGCCACGACGTCACAAAACAAGGGACCCAAGCCCCTCGGCTTCAATACTCACGGACGACCAGAAAAAGAGAAGAAGAATCAGATACTCACTTCCTAGACACGTAGGCCGCCGGAGGAAGATGGAAGGAGCAACGTTCAGGACGCCCCGAACCACTGGTGACCCACGCACACACACTACTCGTCGACACAGAACAGAGAAGAAGCGAGAACTAAGACGGAGGAAAGAATTCGACGGCTCCACCTCATTGTCGCAGACCGACGCCGGCGCGAGAAAGGGTAGAGGATGACTGACGACGGCGAAGAGAACAATCGATGGCGAGGTGCAGGGAAACAAGCCGACGGTGAAGAGGAATGGGAGGATCGCTCGCGCGCGCGCACTCACAGAGCTCTGTTGGTCGACCGAGAAGGGAAGGAAAATTTTTTCACATATAAGGCCAGATTCGTAAAATTACAAGAAAGCCCACCATATTATTTTTTTTTGAATGACAAAAATGCAAAAGGTACTTTAGTAATTTTACCTGCACACTTTCAATGGTAGATTAAAAACTGATAAAGGTGCATGGAGGTCCTACCAAGTATTAATAATTCCATCGGCTTGCAATGTCTTGTGACACTTTTGTGAATGCAGAGATAATGCTTCTTTTTTTTATTGCCATCCGGTATAACTGCATGCTCTAAGATTATGTTTGAATTTTAATGGAATGTAATTAAATAACTAATTATTATGATTGATTTTAATTATAATTAATTATATTACAATACAATTTGTTTGAATATTTTTATAAAATTGATTTTAATAGAATTGAAAATATTTGAATAATTTAGTTAGAATTAATTTTAATTGAACAAATTAAATTATTAATAAAGTTGTATCTAATATTATTAAATTTTTTAAAATTTATTTAGGAAGTAAAATATATTATTTAACTTATATATGTGATTAAGTATATAAATTTAAATTTTATTAATATTAACATATTAATTTATGTAAATAAATAACTCAATAAATCTAAGTTCAAATAAATTTAATAAAAGAAAATAATATAATTCTTAATTACTAAATATCCAATTTACAATAATTAATGAAGATGATAATATACAAGTTAATTTCTAATAACATTATGGATATAAGCCATATCTGATAAAGATATTATGGATGACGGTAAGTGAAATATCTCCCTTAACTAATCACATTTAACACCTAAGTTCAATGTAGTCTTTGGATTAATCCCAAATTGGATTACCAAGTTTGTAATTTACAAAAATGAAATTTCAAGTTTTCATAGTTTAAGATAGATCAAAATTACTTATTAAACTTTTAATCAGAGTAAAACAATATTTCGAAGCATAGGATACCTCATAGGAGTGAAATGATTCAAAAACAGTTAAAAAATATTAAAGACTGAAGAACAGAGTAGTGCACCATGGCATGTGCACATGCGCCACGGCTCAGGTGCCATGCATCGCTGCGTGTTGCAAGTTTTTTACAGCAACTTTGTTGTTATTTGATAACAAACTTGAGCAACTTCTAACGTTACCTCATTTCTCCATCTGATATTCGAATGAAGTGATCTAAGTGTCCATAGAAAACTCTTTTCATGAACTAACTAATGGTATGGGTTTTACTTTTAAATTAAGTCACATAAAAAAGTTAGACACTTAAACATATTTTCAACCATTTTCACTATTTTCACAAATCAAGGGCATACAAAACTCCATATTTGTGCCAAAAGCTATTTCTAATACTTAGACTATACTCAATAGACTTAAAACTACCTGTACAACACACCACATGCACATTTATATCACAGTATTAAATTTTTACTCCTCAACCCCTTTAATGCCAAAAGCAAAAGGGGGAGGCTTTAGCATTGCATTTAAAAATCAACTTTCACAGTTGAAATTAAATGAACAACTCTACACTTACACTAATATTTTATCCCTATGAAATACTTAAACAACTTATAACAATATCCCAGGACCCAAAATACATTCTTAAAAATCATAAACATCAATAAGTGCAAGTGTTTGTAAAATATAACCTAAGTGGGGAAGTGATAATAATGTTATTTAAATATTAGAAATTTTAGGACAGAGCATTGGCCTTAGAGGACTAGTTTGGAAATAAGTTATACACATGAAAACTTTGCAGGTAAGTGGATAGTATCCCAACTAATTTATGATTAATTTTTTAAAAAATATTTTTACTTGGATCATTTAATAACAATTATATTATATAGTACATATTTCATACTTTTTTAATTAAATTATTTTTATCTTGGAAAATTATAAAGGGATGTGGAAGGATATTTGAATTATGATGTGTATGTGTTTTTCTTTGCAAATGATACTTTCAAGATTGATGGAATTATTTTTATCAGCTTTGGTAATTTTGGTTTCTCAAGAAATGCAAGCATGGACATCATTTATGAAGTTTTA